TGTTCACATGCATTAGTGCACAATGACTCACTTTATGAGGGAGAAAATGTAGGCTCAGAAAGGTTTGTTGACCCTGAAAATTCTTGTTCCAGCTCTAAGCCCAGGGGACTCTCTATATCTCATCATAGTAATAATAAAGTCTCTTAAGACATTGGACACAAACTTACATTACGTAGTTTGGACAGTTATTGCCAGGTGTTATACTGAGGGCTGGACAGAAGTATCGTCCCAAAAATTCATTATGCTGCAAAGCCTATGTGACACAAAGGACAATGCAAGGTGGTTTTAAATTTCAAAACATTTCCAAAGAATCATAATAATTAAATCTTCAACTTCAATCTTTATTGTTATTTCCAAATATATACAAAGTTGCATATTCACAATATATCACAAATTAACTAATTTCCCTGGAAATTAAGAGGCCTAAGGTTGGGATATTCCTTCCAATTGGCCAAGAAGGGAAATCTCTTGGTAGATCACCCCATAGCCCCTTCTTTCTTCTCTCTTTAACTGTGTAACCCTATAATCTTTATAACTAAAATGATGTAGTATTGCTCCATGAATATTACTGACTTATGGTAATGATCTTTTCTTGTTTTCATCAAAATCACTTGTAGGAGTTAAAATCTTGGTTACACTGTATTAAGACATGGTTTTCTTTGGAGTTGATTCCTTTGCTAGCGCCATAGGACTAGGAGTGTTATTTAGCCTCTTTGTTTCTCATAATTTCTCTTTAATCATAAGCTAAGTATCCCAGTCTCCCATCCTCTCATTTATTTCCTTATTGAATGGAAACACAATGTTTTTCATCTGTCATTCTTTCCACTTTACTATAAGATTTATTCTCCTCACCTTTCTCATCTGAAACAACAGGGTGACTGAGGAAAACCCCAGATAACTCCCTGACCTTGTGCTAAAGGATAATAGGAAGTACTCCTCCATTGCTCCTGGAAGGAAATTCCTGCGGGGGGAGGTGTCCACAGGTCATGGCAGGGGAAGTGAGACGTATAGGCTTTATTTTCACTGTTCCCACCTTGGGCACCTATTCACAATGATAGTCAAGGACAACTTACTGTAAAGCCATAATAAGGAATGCTGAAGTACTGAAGCCACAAGATCTGAGGAGCCATGCTTCCAAAATACAATGTCAGACCCAAAAAAATCTACAAAAAGCAAAAATCATGAATTAGAACTGGTCCAGGAATTTCATGAGGAATTCTAGAGAAAAGCATCTTCAAGAATGTTATAACCTTCTGAACATTTCTGGTAGGAACAACTCTTGAAATTCTTTGACCTTGCTCTAAATATTAATCTTCCTTTGCATGTGTAAACCTCACATGGCTAAGACTGTTTAGGGTTTTAATTAATGAAAATATACTCTAGTCTATATCATAGATTTCATTTATTTGGAAGATCCTTAATTGTTAATACTATATTTTCATGTTTTTCTGTACTTGCAAACAATGGAAGATTAAGAAATATATTCATCTCTTGGTATCCAAGGGAGACCAGCTCTAGTACTCACATACATAGATACTCAAATCTGCAGATCTCAAATTCCATTATTTTAAAAGAGCATAGTATTTGCATGTAATCCCAAGCAAATGCTTTATACTTTAAATATATGTGTCCTTTGCATTTTAAATCATCTCCATATTTCTTTTACCTACTATAATATAAATCTTGTATATGTAGTTTATACTACATACATATAACCATATAAACTATATAGTTTAGGCAATAATAACTAAAAAAGAAAATGTACATATTCAGTACATACCTAATTCTTGTTCTGTATGTTTTCCATCTGTGGTTGTTTGAATTTTCTAATGCAGAACTCACTGACACAAAGAGCTGAATACTGACTATCCTAATTATAACACCAACATGTGTTGCCCCTAATGACCCTGAAAATCTAGGAACTTATACAAGAATGTTCCTGAGCTTCACATACACCTCTCCATTTCCATACAACTGTAAGATTTGTTATTTACAAGGATTTGCTTTTTGCATCCATGACATTAATAATAATTTGGGGTTCAGAATTGTAGGCTTCAGGTTTCCCAATGCCTAGAACTTATACACTGTATAGCGTGGTGTAGTACAGCAGAAAACATGGACAATCCCTCTGTTTAAAGCTATGAAAAAGTGATATTGCAATGCAGATTCAGGAAGGAGCGCTGGAGATGAACGAGAGGCCCACATAACACTGGCCCCAACTGGGGTGAGGTGAGCTGGGATTTGCACAATGGTGGCAGTGCTGTGGTGTGCCTGTGTATATCAGACTTGACCTACCAGAAGTGACTGGTGTATAACATGACATCTCTGAGTGAAATAAAATTTTACAACTGGCTTTTAAAATTCTACACGAAAACTTCCAAATCACAATCAATGTATCAAATAAATCAAACAAAACATCTCTATTTACTGAAGGACTTTTTTTTATAGTAGATGAAATACAAATTAGACATCACATTGTTGATGGTATATATTGGCAGTTGACAAATTCAGAAATTGAACTAAACTTTGACAAGAGTATGTGTAAGCCATGCTTTTATGGTTGCCAAATTATAGATAACAATACCACATTAATAAAAAGAACTTTTTTAAGTGTTGTATATGTGCCATTCAAGGGCATCTCTTTCTATTGTACCAGAAAGGATGTATACACCAATTGGCTGAGCATCCCTGTTTAGCCGATATTGTGTGGGGTGTGTGGTAATAGGCTCTGTTTATCTGTTGATTCATCTATGTGAGTGCAAATTTTAGGACCATGAAAGATTATGACTTTGCAATCATTTTCTAAAAAGATGAAACAGAAACATATTGATATTAGCAATTCTCAGGAAGCCAGACAACAGGTGACCTAATACTATGGACTTTAGAAATTTCCAGTAATTTTAAAACATTTTCAAATGCAAGAGGCATCCAAGCTAGACCCCTGTAACACTTCTCATGGAGCTTCACTTTCACCTTGGGGAATAATGAATCCAACCAAACAAGCTCTGCTGCTTACACAGCTGGCAGTTCTCTAACACCAGCATGAAAGGCAGGTAGACAGCCTGTGGTTTTTGCAAGGGAATCAATCATTATTCTTGTTTTTGAAGTCCTAATAAACGTTCATAATCACCAAAAAGTCTGTTTTAAAAGCTCATTAATAAGGACATAGCTAAGATAAGTAACTACATGAGAACACTAGCAGAAAAGCCTATATAGGAGCAAGGAAGAAAGTGGTACATTCTTTAATATAAACTATAGTTCAGTCTATGGCTTCCTGAAACCATCAGATTCCCACATCCAGAATCCTCAAAACAGACTTTTTCATGACAGGAAGGTGTCAGAGAAACAGGGGGAAAAATTCTGTCCCCAGAGAAGCCCAATTCACACTCACCAACATAAAAGTAAAATAGATGTTCATGACCTGTCTTGTTATAGTTACATCACTATGACTTATTCCTATGGCCAGTGACATGGAAGTGGATGAAAAAGCCATCATCATGAGGATAAAGATCATGATGAAGAAAGCCTCCACTGCTGGTTTTGATCCTTAAAGAAAACAAAGGATCAGTTTAGCTGTGTAGATCCCTGTGTATCTGGAACTGTTTATAGTGCCAATAACACTACAATATCCTGAGAAAGTAAGATCAGAACAACAAAAAACATCACTCACATGCAATAAAATTTTACGACTGGCTTTTAAAATTCTACACGAAAACTTCCAAATCACAATCAATGTATCACTAATTGTGTCACTAATTTCATTGTTTCTCTTCATGCGAATGAAGGGTAGCCATCTTTATAACGTAAATCCCCCTAGTATAATCACCACCACGTGGCTCTGTGATTGGGCTGCCAAGCTTCTTAAATTACTTTATAATTATCATGAACTGATGCTTTGTATTAGAATGGTCTGAAGATTTTGGAATATCTGTAAGAATACTGATAAGAAGTCTACAGCTCTAAGATTCCATGCCTAATTCTCATAGCACACTTATTATTTATAAAATTGAAGTTTCCAGCTCTATTAGTGGTTTTAATCCTGGGGTGAGTTGTCAAAGAAAATTTGTGTGCACACACACACACACAAATCAGAGAAACTTATAGAAATGATAATTCAGTGATCCTGGTGTGAAGCCAGAGCAAAATGCACAACTGATTCTGTTCTACATCATCAAACAAGTAATTTTATTAAATCAATAAATCCCAAAGTCACCGTCTTCCTCTCGTTAGAGTAGGAGACAGGGAGAAAAGATATGCATACATTGTTTTTTTCAATCTCTTTCTACATATCTCTGCATATCATAGATATTACCAGCCTGTGTATATTTTTTCTCTACATAGAGATACATGTGGTAAGATATAGAGAAAAAAATACAGATAGGCAATAAACATCCCAGCTTCTCTAGCACAGTCTCAAATAATTCAACAAATGCTTTCCGTGTTTGAGTATGACACATGGCATCCTTCAGAAACATATAGTTCCGTAAATACATTTTCAAGTTCAGATGGGAAAAAGTCTAGAAAAAGTGTCCACATTAACCAGCTAATTTAGAGAATATACCATCAATACATGATTCCTTATAGCTTGTTTTATAGTTTTGGGAACCAAAAGCGTGTTTGCAATGAGAAGTTAACATCTCAACATATTCAAGGCTAGAGACACATCCCCTTTGTCTTGTTACTTACCCACCATGAAGTATACTATAAAAGTAAATATAAAACTTGGCAAGAACCTCTTGGCTAGTAAGTCAGATAAAATATTTCCAAAGAAATAAGACGACACCCTGTAGTATCCACTGATGTGCTCGTGTCTACAGAACAAAAACACACACCACATACCCCAGATTAGTCCAAGAAGGCACAGCCCAGATGAGATGCTGCTGTGCAGACTCCTGCTGCCACCAGGTCTGACACTGCAGCTGCTCACAGGCTCCAGGCTGACCCCCCACCCGCATCCTTCTCCACCTCAGATGCAGCCTCCCTGGGGCATCAGTCCCATGAGGCTCTTGCTGTGACCCTCTCATGACAGCACTCCTCCTGCTCCCACCCACTCTGGCCCATATCACCCCTCCAGGGACAGAGTCTGCATGTCCTCACTCTCCTCAGAGACTCTGCTTCTGCTGTCAGGCTGGCTCTGCCTGATGAGCAGCAAGCACTTCAGGGCTAACTTCAGTGGTAATGGAGGCTTTCCTTCTCTCCACTTCTGAGTGTGAAAGTAACATTGTTACTTTCCAAAGCCCTCAAGCAGATTCAGATCACTAAATTTGTTTACTTCTCTTTTGTTAAAAAAAGAAAAAGACTTCTTCCTCCAGTAATCCTGCCTCCAAGGTGCAGCACTGTCAGCAATCAAATCCTCATCTCCCCTCTTCCTGACACCTTTCTTCCCTAAATTCCGAAGTCTTTCACCACTGTCTTCATTCCGTTCCTCTCTGGTGGGTGATTCCTGTCCTGGGCATTAAAGCTTGGGTAAATTTCCTCCATCCTTGAAAAATACAAGGGCAAAACCATCTTGCTCTTTCTTGTAAGGCTGCCCTCTGGGTCTCTTCACTTTTTCTTTGATCCACATACTTTGTCAACTTCATATCTCATTTCTAATTTGCTGCTTACATTTCCACTTAATCTCTACCAAAGCCTCTAAAAAATTTCCGTGGGAGGATCATTATGACCTATTTTTTTTTTCTAAAAACTAAAGATACTTCTTAACCCCTTTATTCCTTGCTTTCTCGGCAGAATTGGGATTTGATGACCATACCCTAACCTTGAAATTTCTTTTTTCTTTGTATTAGGCCCCACACATTCTTGACTTTCTATCCCAATTGGGACTGCTTTTTCTCACTTAATATTGGTAATCCTTATATATACTTTGTGTTTTACATGGTAAATATGTATAATTTAAATGTCAATTTGAAAACATAAAGAACATAAGGGAAAAGAATAGAAAAATAAATACCAGTAATCCCCACAATCATATTTTTGGTCTAATTCTGCATTTAACCATTTTCCCCCCAGCCAGCAATGTCCCTTACTAGAATAGAGATCAACTCACAGAAATAGCTGCTTCTGGACCACAAAGAGTTTCACGGCTTACACGCTGCTGAAATACTGGTGAGTCAGCAGGAAGAACAGCATTACTGCTCTGTCAGGACAGAATGGGAACAAAAGCACCTCAGTTAACTCAGCACTCTTAGGTTGGTTTCTTCCTATAAGACTCCTTCCAGAAATAATGTAACATCAAATACATCTTAAAAAGAAAAGTAGAGCTCTTTAAGTTTAAACAGATAGGAAAGCCTGGCCCCCTCTAGTGGCTCTCCCAACTCTGTATCTCCTCATTGGTACCCCTGTCACTCCACACTACAGCAAAAATTGAAATTCTTGTTTGGGGTTGTTGTGCACTGACTTGTTTTCCCTAAAATTCACCTGTTGAAGAGATAACCCCCAATGTGATAGTACCAGGAGGTAGGCTTAAGGAAGTAATAAGGATTACATGAGGTCATGAGAGTAGAGCCCAATGATGGGATTAGTGAATTGGTGGAGAGGAAGAAATACCAGCTGTTCTCTGCCATGAGAGGATGTCCAGTGAAGGCCCCATCTACAAGCCAGGGAGGGACCCTCATAGAACCCTGACCTGCTGGAAGGGAATTCTAACCCCAGACTTCCAGACTCCATTATTGAGAGAAAATAACATTCTGTTGTTTCAGCCACCAAGTACATGGGATTTTCCTATGACAGCCTGAGCTAACATAAAAATACTCCCTCATCTTCAAATTAACTCACAAAAATGCTGTATGTCATTCCTAATGTACGAAAAGAGAAACATTAACCTAAATGAACCTAAATAAATCTCCCAAGGGTTAAAATATTTAATTATCCAGTTTTGTTTTAAAGTGAAGTAATAAGAAAGTAAGACATATGGAAAGAAATGAAATAGGGGAGGAAACCCCTGCTCAGCTCCTTGCTGTAGTCACCCAGGACAGGGCCATCAATAGCCTTGACAGTTACCCTTGATGTGGGACAGCCACTTTCCTACAGGATTTTCTAGGATGCTCAAAACAAAAATCAATCTGATGCTTATTTATAATATAAAAAGCAACTTGATAGTGTGTATTAAGCTTTAATACTTATTTCTTGGTTAAAATAATTGAGGTTTAGAAAGAAAAGTTTTCAGTTAATTTATACTCCAATAGAAATAAGGATTTCATGAAAGCATGCCACCATCCCTGAAACAAAGAAAAGCTTCCCTTCCAAACCAAACAACTGAATTGACAGTGAAAACCAGAAAGTGAGATGATGTGTGTATCATTTAAATGACTTAAAAAGAAGAGAACATTTTTATGCATGTAAACCCAAGTAAATAATTCCAACTACTTCAAAAAAAAAAAAAAAGAAAAGAAAAGAAAAAGAAGAGCCCCATAGGCAATTTTTTTTCACCTAAAGAATGAAGAACTAAGGGGTGCAAACTGTTTTTAGTTTGAAAGTTCACATAATAATCAAAGTGAATGGAAAATAGCCAAGCCCAGAGAAAAACTACTATATAACTTTTGCTAATGGAATAAACATAATATCAAGTTGAAAGGCAATTTTAGAAACATGGGACAGGGCAAAAATTCACTTTAATTTGTTCTCTCACATTTAATAATACAAATACATTTAATAATTGTAAGTCAAAAATACAAATTAAAATGAGGTTAGTGTTCATTTTTTTCCAGAAAACATCTGAAGAAACTGCTAAAGTTCTTCTTTATTTCTTTGGCTTTTTCTATTAAAATATTCATGATTCTAAGAAAACACAGCATAATTCCTTCTAATACATAAGATGATTTATTTTACATTAAACAGTTTTATTATTAAAAAAAATTAATATTAAAATATTCAATGCTTTTCAAGGGGTAACCTTCATATAGATCTGATTTATTTTTATTCATAAATTGACAAATTGTAATAGTATATTTCTGGGGCAAAAAGTAATGTTATGCTTCAAAAATATAATGTGTGAAAGAATAACAAAATGAAAAAAATTATGGTGGTACCCATCAATTCAAGTATTCATCATTTTTTATGATGAGAATATTTGAAATTTATTCCTAGAAATTATGAATTGTACATTATTCTTTTATGGATTTACCATCCTGTGCAGTGTACCTCAAAAAAGAAGAAGAAGAAGGAGGAGGAGGAGGAGGAGGAGGAGGAGGAGGAGGAGTTGTTCAAAAGAAAAAAACTATACTTCCTGCTTTACTGAGATTTGTACTTTCAACCTTCATCACCTCATTTCCCCATATGTTAGCCTTTAGCAACCCCCATTCTACTCTCTGTTTTATAGAGTCCAATAGTGTCAGAATTTACATATGAGAACATGTGACTTTTGTCTTTCTCTGTCTGGATTATTTTACTTAGCATAATGTTCTCCAATTCTATCCATGTTGTCACAAATGGCAAGATTTCTTTTCCTGAGGCTGAACAGCGTTCCCTTGTGTATACACACACTTTCCTTATCTGTTAGTCAGCTGATGGACACTTAGACTGATTTCTGAATCGACTATTGTGCACAGTGCTGCAATGAACATGGGAGTGCAGATCCCTCTTCAACAAACTGACTTCAAATATTTTGTATAAATACACAGAAGTGGGGTTACTGGATCCAAATATTTTTTAAACACCTTTTTTCAAATATGTTTAGCAATCATCACAACTCTTAAGGCTATTCAAATAAGCTCACACTCTACACAGGATTCTAACCCAGTTCCTTGGTTACACAGGGTAAGAGAGAGTGCAAAGACATTGCTTGGTCCCCCCAAAGAACTAAACTGTTGGCCTCTTCAAATAATGAGGCACTGATACTAAGCCCTGAAGAAAGGTCTAATAATCTGGTTTCAGAGATAAGGCTGATTTTTTTTTCATAAACTGAAGAATCAATTACATGAAGATGGATTTGATGAGCCAACACACACTGGCCACTTTTACAATGCCCAAACTTATTAAAAGTTGTAGCAATTGTAAGTCAAAAATACAAATTAAAACAAGGTTAGTGTTCATTTTTTCCAGAAAACATCTGAAGAAACTGCTAAAGTTCCTATTTATTTCTTTGGTTTTTTTCTATTAAAACATTTAATGGTTAGCATTTCACTACTTTAAAATTGCAGCTGATGACAGATTCCTTAATATTTTTCCAAATGCTTCCTGCTACATGATATAAACGGTACACAACTTTGAGAACCTGTGATTATGCTGAGCTTGGTTAAGAAATAGTATCCACACAGGGCATAAACCAAGTATTGGCAGAGTTGTAAAAAATTCCAGAGATCTCTGCCTTTAGAAGCTAAAAAGGAGACTTAACTCTGGAAAACGGCTGTAATAATCGTCTCTTCATAGGGAAACACAACCTGATTCAATAAAGAGGAAAATTCACTGTACTTGAGTAAAGAATTAACTTTTATGGTTATTCTTCCATTAAAAGCAACCAGCCTGTAACAGGGATTCATTTCAGGCATTGAGTATGAACTTTCCTGCTCAAACACAGGAGGCTTATTTTAAAACTGATGTGTTTTATTCTCTTTTCTTCCTATTTTCCTTCTTCCCCTCCCTGTGTGTGTGGAAGTAAGATTCACATTTTTTTTGTGTCCTAGTCTGGGCTATCATATCCAGGTTGTTAACATGTTCAGATCATTAACAAGAATAAGGAAATTGGTATTAGTAAGATGTGCAAACATAGAAACTGGTACCAACAGATCTGACCAATGGCTTCTTCAGGGCACCATGTGGACATTATATATACCTTTTAAAAAGTATACTTGGAGTCTGGTTCCAGAATTTCCCTTTAATAACACTTTGTTCCCCCTTGTAGAGAGGACAATAACTCTGGAAATGTTAATCTGCTCTTTCTTTTTCATATACTAGAGGAAATCAATAAAATTTATTTTTGTGTGTTTTGCATAACCCTGTTTTCATGATTTGCACTGACATCTGGGACAAGGACTGAGCTTTTGGAATCAAGCCTTTTCTAGACATCAAAATAGATTCAACATCAAATTCCTCAAAGGTTATCAATATTAAAATGAGGATGAGACCATCCACTTCTCTGGCCATTGGTAGGTAACATGAGCCACAGCTGTCAATAATGGAGCTCAATGCCTAGCAAGGAGTGGTTCTCCTTATATGAATTATGATGAAAGCCCTGTGGACTGTGATGTTGAGAATCTAGGTTCAGACTATGATGCAACTGTGTAAAATGACATCCTGGTATGCAAGTTTGGGGGATACATTTTATGACTGAAACTAGAAAGGATCATAACACTGACAAGTGCTTTCCAAATGAGAGGATAAACACCATTCCATCCATGTGTCCTATACTCCCAAATAAAAAGCATTAGGAAAATTGGCTCACAAACCTCCAAAGAAAAATGATCAATAGGACTATATCAAAATTAAAAAATCTGTGCAAAAATGGTACTATCAACAGAGAGAAATAAATCCACAGAATAGGATAAAATATGCATACATCATGTATCTGAAGAGGGATTAATAAATCATAAATATAAAGGACTGTACATTAGCAGCAACAATAACAAAAAATCCTGCTAAGAGCAAAAAAATCCTATTTTAAAACTGGCAAAGGACTTAAAACAGACATATCTTCAAAAATCTAATGGAACGCTGTTATTTCAAAAAAGAAAAAATAATCAATTTTGATGAGAATGTGGAGAGATTGGAACTCTATGTTCTGCTGCTAAGAAGGTAAAATGAAGTAGAAGAGAGTATGCCATTAGTTAAAAAAAATGAACAGAATTTCCAAATGATACAGAAGTTCTACTTCTGGTATTTTCTCCAAAGCCTTACTGAAAACAGAATTCAAATAGCTATGTGTATACCTATAGCAGCATCACACAAATAACCAAGATGTGTAAGCAATCCCTATTTTTAGCAATGGATGAGTGGACAAATAAAATGTAGTATATACATATGATAGAATATTTTTCAACCTTAAAACAGAAAAAAAAAATAGAATACCTTAATTTAGAAGAACCTTGAGGACATTATGCTAAGGTAAATAAGGCAGTCATAAAAAGATGAGTATAGTATGCCTGCACATTCATGAGCTTCCTAAAATAGCCACATGCAGAAACAGAAAATTGCAGATGGTTGCAGAGGTGGCAGAGGTGGCTGTGGGTGGTTTCTCTTAGGTGGGTTGAAGATTCCCCCTGGGAAGATGAAGAAACGCTCTGGAGTTGGATGGTGGTGATAGTTGACAACGTGAATATATTTGATGTCCCGGAACTGTGCACTTAGAAATGGTTAAGATGTGTATGAGATGTGTGTAACTTACCACCACACAAGTATACATATGTGTGAAAAAAATTAACTCTTTTATTCAGTTTTCAATACATTTACTGTCCCTACCCCATAATAAAACACCAACGTTTACCCTCTATTGTCATAAATTCAAATTATTTTTTAATTATTATACATAGCAGTAGAATCTATTTTGATACAATAAGTTCAAATTCGTAATAGATGCCCCTGAGCTTGAGCAAAGTGACAGAATTTTCTCAAAATCAAGAGCTAATTTTACTTACCTATTTTGTATTTCAGTACAATCATTTTTTAGCCAAAGGAAAGTAGCGCCTACAACAATTCCCAGAATGAATGTGGAAATTATCTTTTCAAAAATAAAAAATGAAAACAGAAAGAAAAGAGTTTCAATTGCATGTAAAAATTTTATTATTAAAAAAAAAATATATATATATATTTTAGCAATGGATGAGTGGACAAATAAAATGTAGTATATACATATGATAGGATATCATATGTATATACTACATTTTATTTATATCATACTACCTAATCAAATTTATCCACTAAAATACACACTTTAAATGATTTGGCCAGAGTCCCACTGCTTTCTAAATCAGTCATTAACTGGAACTGAACTCTCAACTATCATGCCAGTGAACATGCAGCTTTGTACTTCAAAAGATCAAGTAAAAACAGGATGTCTTTACTCTGATCATTGGAAATGAATGAAATTTCAAGGCTGAGGAGGTAGCTTACCAATAGAATGCTGTCATAGCATATGTTACATCCTAGGTTTTGATCCTCACCATTTCCAAATAAAGAGATAAACAAAAATATAATAACATATATACACACACTCATACAAATTCTAACAATGGGATTTTGAATGATAATGCAGTAGTAATAGACACCTTTCCAACTTGTAGGATATCCCCACCTGCACTAGAAAGTACATTGTCACTGTCACCAAAGCTCTCAGCCAGTTGAGGACACCCAAATGTTCCATGACCATCTCCAAAGACATTGCTTATCTTCCAATCCCAGCCAGTGAGGTCTACATTTACTTGGCACACCTGAGCCTCAAATTCTTTCTTTGCCATTCTCACTAATCTTTACTTACATAGTCTGTATGAATGGCTCCCATAGAGAGTGGACCAACATTTGTTTGTAGAATAAAAAGTGGCTTAAGAGTGATTTAATTGTCAAAAAGTTAAGGGTTACATTGTGATATATTCTATGTAAGGAATTCCTCTTATAATTATTCTTGCTTTAAATATAATAATATAGAAAATTGTAATGCAAAGAAAACAAAATATGCTACCATATAGCTTGGAAACATCAAAATAAAAAGAAACCTCAACATTATTGTAACATCAAGCCATGAGCTAATTTGTAAAGAACACATATGGCGAGAAGTCAAACAAAAGGCAAAAACAAGAATCATAGTCTGTAAACACTAGTTTGTAAAGACCAGATGCTGGAAACAATATTATTTAAATGTTTCGCCTATGAGATGTTCTTAAAATTCATTTCCTAATAAGAGAAATTTAGGAAGGAAAATCCTTTGCCCTGACATTTTTCAAATACCTTCAGGATATGCTCTATTTCATTTCAATAGCTCAAACTTTCAAAACAAATGCAGTTGGTTCTATTGACATGCAGCACACACATGTATACAAGAATCTATACTTTTACGCAGTATGACTTTTAAGATATTAAGACTTCAAAATATATGCTCTGCATTCTTTGCTTCTTTTGCATCCAAACTTGACATCTTACACTGACTGAATATTACCATTAGGATGTTTCCTAGATATTTTCAGTTTTCAAACATACTGACAAAATGATGAATCCTGGATCATACCATGCTTTCACAAGGTTTATATGTGGTATTTCTTCTGCCATAAAGAAAAAGAAAGCCTTTGAGCAAACTGAAACTCTCACAACAGAGCAAATGACACTATCTACGAGCTTTGTGCATCTGTCCACTAGTCTCTTTCAAAAGAGATAAAAAAAGAAATTTTCCAACCATCTTACTATGACTTTGTTCAGATGTATTTAAAAAACATTTCATTTCTCAAGGTGTGTTTTGAGTGATGTTTGTAGATTTCTATTAAAAAAGAAGTAGAAGGAGGAGGAGGAGGATCCATAGTCAAATGTTTGTTTTTTATGTGAATATAAACAATGAACTTCCAGGTGATTAGTGATAATGTTGTCAAAATTGATTTGTTCAGAAAACTTGGCACATTAAAAGAACATTAAATCTTCTTTCTCCAATAATCTTCATTCCTAGATCTTCTCAGTATTTTATCTGGTTAGATGTCAAGTCTGAATCATGTCAAAAAAATAACTAGTCCAGAACAAAGTACAACAATAAGACAATAAATACAGGATTATCAGCAGGAGTCATAAAATTTTTAACAACTCCATTTTTACAAGCTTAGAGAAATAAAAATAATGTGAGAATAAGAACCCTATGCAAGGGTCAGTAAACTAAAACATACAGATCAAATAGGGCTAGCCTCCTATTTTTCTTAAGCATATAAGCTAAAAATGGTTAGATTTTTTTCTATTAATTGGGAGAAACAAATCAAGAATAATATTTCCTGCAATATGGAACATCTAAAGAATTCAAAATTCAGTGTCCATGAATAGCATATGTATTAGCTGTGGCTACTTTGATGCTGAAGCGGCAGGGTTGACTACTCCAGACAAAGGCCATCTATAGCTCTCAAAGTCCAAAATATTTACTATCTGGGCCTTTATCAAAGAGTATTTGCCTGCTCCTGAGCTAATATTCCAGCATTTACAAATGGGAACAATAGTTGTCCTGCTAAACTCAGGGAGCTACAAGGTTCTACCCTTATTTTAGAGACTGTATCTTTTCTGAACACTGTTGGAATTCCTTCTGTGGAACTGAGTTTGCTGATGAGGCAAGTAGGCTGAATGTGCAACCTGGAGGCTTTCGGCCTGTTGTCTGCACCTTAAGGAAGCCTAGACCCAAAACATGCACAATCCTGGTATTTTACAGATAGGTGTCTTCTAATAATGCCTGCCCGTAACTACCATATATGTATTGGACAAGACATACCAGTTATAGAGGCAAAAAAGAAAGACCTAATGCATAAATTACTCTAAAGAATCAAATCACTACATCATCTC